GTTTACAGGTGATCCCCACATCAATATTCATGCTACTGTTGGTCAGCTTCCTACATACTCTGGTGGGTTTGTCTCTTGCCAACACATCATTTTTTCTGTTTCTTGCATTTGCTCCTTGTCCTCTATTCTCCTTGAAATACAGGATTGTTCAGGGCTTAATTCTGAAGGTGCTTTTCTTTCTCATTGTAAAGAATCTTGCGGAGGGCATGTGTGGCTTAATACTAACTAGATGACATTCTTATATTCCCATCTCCAGTCCAGATTGTGACTCAGAACTACAGACTCCCACTGTCTTCTGCACCCCAGATAAAGCACACTGGACTTGTCAATGTAACCATCTCCCACTGCCTTCTGCACCCCAGTTAAAGTACTCCCATCATTCCTGTTTCTTTGACAAAACTCTTGTTTGTAGGTCTTCACTAAATTCCATGCCACCATCTAATATTCATGTATCTCCTATCAAACTCCATCCAGAATTTGCTTTCCTTCCCCCTGTTTGGTACAAGTTGCTATCCTCCTTCTCCTTCATTTTTTCAAGCAGTCACCCAAAAGTTCTGTTGCTTCTCCCTGTGACAACCATTTCCACAAGGAAGTCAGTCTGGTAGTTTACATGGAAACAGAAAAGATTACGGTACTTCTTGATTGCGCCCTCAGTTCCTTTCCACACCATTTTGTCTAACGAAGTCCCTGCTGATGGCCTTGGAGGGCTTGCATGATTCTCGGTCTACCCTAGAAAATACTGCATGAAATTCTGCTTTTGGGGTGCTTCCACTGGTAAATCTGTCCACCCAGAACAAGCTATTTCCTCCCGTCCTTCAGATTTTGACAATAAGGGCATGGTCTCTTCAGAGCCCTCCCTGAGCACCTTCCTGGGCTTTGCTTTTCTTCCCAGAGTCAGTCACCACTCTCTATGTTACATTTTTGACTTCCTGAGGAGGCCTTGTCTAATGTCCACTAGGTAGTAGTTTTGTTCAGCTCATTGTCATCTCTATTCCTAGGTCCTGGAATAGAAGCTGGCATATAGCCTCACTGAACAATACAAGATATATGACCTTGTTATAGCAGAGGGAAGCCCCAGAGTACAGTGACTTGAACAGAAAAATATATTGTCTTGCAGTTTTCAAAGATGGAAGTTGAAGCTCAAGATGTTGGCAAGGGTGATTCCTTGAGATCTCTCTCCTTGACTTGTAGATGGCAGTCTTCTTCCCTCTATGTGTGATTGTGTCTTAGCCACCCCTTGTAATAAGGATTCCACTTATACTGCACTAGTGCCCACCCTAAATATCTCATTTTACCTCAGCTCCCTCATTAAAGACCTCATGTCCAAATACAGTCACAGTCTGAAGTAGCGAGGTGAGGGCTACCATTGAAGGACTGGGGAGGGGGACATTTGAGACTACAATCTACTCAATGAATAGTGTGTAGAGGGTGAAGAATATGCAGAGAAAATGTGAGTCTTTTAAGGAGTTAAGATCAGTGCTTTGGCTTGGAGAGGAGGGTCAGGAAGACTGAGAGAAGGGTTCAATTTTGATGAATGGGTATCAAGAAAATAATTTCTGTAGCTGCAAATAGACACAGGAAGAAATGAAAGGAGGGGTAAGGGAGAGAAAATTGGGGAAAGGAGGTGATGGAATTGGTAATATTGAGGGACAAGGAAAGAGAGGGTGGCCAAGTTTTACAGAAAGAGGAAGCAGGTCCAACTTCATGGTGGTGATTTTATAACAAATCCTGAGTTTAGCTCACCATTTCTGATCTACAAGGATCTAGTAAACACTATTGTGGAAGAGCCTCTGTGCTGGATGCCAATAATGTGGACTGAAACATGACCCTAAGTGAACTGTTCAACTCGGTGACCCTCTGAGCAACCCTTTGAAGCAGGCACTGCTAGCTTCATTCCTATTTGGCAGATAAGCAAACTGAGACACAGGGATGCCAACTCACTTGCTGAAGATCATAGAGCAATATGTGGTCCTGCCAAGAGGTGGAGCAGTGCCCTGCTCTTGAGGTCCCACTTGTCCTCCTTTTCTTGTGCTGTGCACAGAGGCCCCATGGTTCTAGTCCTTGTAGACAATGATGAGAATGTACTGGTCAGTGTGGGAGAGGGTGGAAGGCCTTGTGAGACCTCACAGTGCAAATCTCAATGGTATTATGTGGGCAGAATGAACTAAGTGCCCTGATGGATGGTGGGAAGAAAGGCATTCTGAGGGGGGAGTGAATTAAAAGCAGGCTGCTGTTGCTGGAGCAAGAAGCTCGAGTGAAGGTCCTGGGAGGCAGTGGTTGCCATAGATGCTTTTTGTGTAAATAGGTACGCTCAACTCTCACGCCTTCTTTGGGGTTGTGTACCCAAGGCCCTGTGGTTGAAATGAGGTCAGGAGCATGCTGATGGGCTAGGAGACTAAGGTTAACTCTTAAACCTCCTTGGTCATTTTCCCTACTTGATATGGGACAGAATAATAAAAAAAAGGGATAATTGGTGATGGGATAATAGATTGGTATTTGTGAGTTATTGTTTTTAGACAATTATATTGGTATCGATTCTTGTATATTGATACAAAGTTAAATTATATTGAATATTGTATGTGAGTATGCTTCTACCTCTGTTTAAAACATTTTTATGTATTGATATATATATATTGTATTGATATATATTTACCATATTGCAGTGTACATTTCTACTTCTGATTAAGACACTTATATATTGTTTATGTATTGATATACATTGTTTACATTTGGAGGTCATTGTCCCCATTTATTGCACAGTTGTTTATTGTCTTAGTCTTTAAGTTAGATAGGTATTGAGAATTATAAATCAATAGTCATATAGGTTTGTCATATTTATATTTAGGCTAATCAGGTTCTTTAGATACATGGAGATTATACTCAGTATAGATAGTATAATCTCCAACCTCTTCAAAGAGCTGTAGAAAATGGCCTTTAATCTAACCTAGAGTTCCGTGGTAGTGAGACACAATCACTCTTGGCAACATCGCTCTACTCCCGAGAGACTGTTGAGCACCAAAGACACTCCACCTGGAGCCTTTCTTCTTGGCCGAACTGGCTTTTGGGCAAAGAAATGCCCATACCTCAACCACTGACAGAGATACAGAGTATCCGTGAATGGATAAATCAGGACTGTCATATCCTGCCAAGACAGGGTAAGATAGTTCTGAAGTTTCTTGCCTTTGAAAATGGTATGTCAGTTACGTCAGGCCTTAGCCAAAGTTGGTTGCCTCAATGCTGCAAACGAGACTTTGGGTGATTGCCCAGGTAGTCAGTTGTCTCTGTCATTTGTTGCACATTTTGGAAGTTTCTTGATTGTACTTCCGGTTTACTCAAGTAATATTACTTCCCTTCTCAGATCTTGGATGGAGTTGAAGATTAGATAATTGAAGTTACCCTCCTCATGATTTAGCTAAACTCAATTTCAATATATTATTTAGACTCCTTGAAATAGAATGCTCAGTAAAACTTTTGTTATGTGTTTCTTGCTTAATATTGTTTATTGCTTGTAATTTTATATTTGATATCTGTTCCTATTGTATATAGTTGTATTGAATTTGGTTCGATCTTGTTTAGACAAAAGGGGGAGGTGATGGGGAAGCTCAGCCAATCACATTTTGCTTGGGTGTGGCAACCTGGTCCCCAGGGAAGAAAACCTGGAGATCCAGGTGCGCTCACTCTCTGCACACGGTGTTCGCCTGACCCATTTGGACATCAGAACTTTTACTCCGGTCGCGTGAGTTTCCCCGTTTTTCAATAATTATTAAATTATATTTGTTGTTTTGAGCTGGTCTGTTTATTTAAGCATACCCGTCAAATACGCCTTCACCTACTGACCATGACTCCATCCAGCTCTTTCACTATCTAGCCAGAGCATCTGAACACAGTTGTTTGCACCAACCAAGGGCATTCCCATCCCCAGGATATCTTATTTTTCTCCGTGCATCCTGCCCATGGGCATGGCTCTCCCAGCCTTCCATGGAGTAAAGGTTACAGAGGCTCTGCCGTGGGCAAGGGACACTCCAGAAGCTTAAGGAAAGGAAGAGGGGGGACTCTGAGTTTAGAAAGCAGGTGGGGAACAATGTGGGTGGGTCAGAGAAGAGAGAAGGTGTAGGGCCAGGGACACAAAGAATCAGCCCTGGAAGCTGGAGCACTGGGGGCTCTGCAATCTCTTCCCATCCCTTGTCTCGTCATTTTGGCCTTACTCTGGCTCGTTCCTATCAAATGCAGGGCTGTGCTCTCTCTATTAACCCAGTAAGGCACACTGGGCTCCTCCTAGGCTTTCCAAGACACAGACCTTAACCATCTCGTCTCATTCTGTGGGTCAACCTCAATTCCTAGAATAATGCCATTTCTGCTACCAGGGCTTTGTTCAGTCAGGTGAACCTTCCATAATACAGACAGAGGTGTATACTCTGCCCCAACACTCCTTGCAGGCTCAGAAGATTGCATCTTCCTTTCTTTCTCCTCCGTTTTAGGAGCCCATATTCCCCTCTTAGCTGAAGACAGAATTGTGAGGAAAGCAGGATTCTCCCCATTTCTCAGATTTCACAAGAGAAAAGCCTGCCATTTCCAGGCAGGGTGGGGACTTAAGTGAGGAAACCAAGGTCACTCAGTCATTGGCGGAAGGAGCGGGGCCAGAGCCCGTTCTCTGCGGACCCAAGGAGCCTCACAAGGCTGCCTAGGCCTGCTGTCACGGGCCCCTCTCTTCACCGCAGGCACCAGGGCCAGGCTGGCTGGAATGGCAGGTGAGTCTGGGTGGGGCCCAGGAGGCAGCTCGGACCTTAGCGCTCCAAAGTGCCTGAATCGCTGGCCTTGAGGGCAGAGCTACAGAGTCCGGTCTTTGCAGGACTCGCGCCCTAACTCACCACTGGGCCAAGGAGGTGTCCGAGGGTCCTTAGAGAGCCCCTAGGCCCGCCGGTCAGGCCCCGCCCCCCCAGCAGCACCGGCGCGGGCAGGGGCGGTGCTGGCGGAGTTGGGCGCGGGCGCGCGGTGCTGGGTGCGCGCCACCGCCCCTCGGCCCGGCTTGCTGGCCTTCCCCACCTAAGCCCTGGGCTGCTTCAGCTGGCCCCACCCCTTCTTCCTCTCCTGGCCCCGAGGCCTGGTGCGCGGTGCAGGGCGACGAGCGCGGCCTGGCTACTGGGGCAAGGCTCTCGAGGGTGGCACGCCAGGCGCGGGGCGCGAGGCCAGAGCTGGCTCGGCAGGGTGCAGGGGGAGGGTCCGACGGAGCCCCCAGAGGAAAGCAGGGACAGACAGGGGGTGCTGAGGTAATGGGCAAGGCCTGCACGCCTGACTGTGTGGGGCGGGGGCTTCAGGCGCTCTTTGGCCAGGGCCTGGCCAGCGATGGGGCGCCAGGGGCGGCGGGAGGGAAGCGGGACAGGGAGGGACTAAGAGAGGGGACCCCAGGGATGGGCCGGGGGCTTGGCCGACGGGGAGCAGGTGGGCGGGGACAGGGGCCCTTCTTGAAGAGAAGCAGAGGTGGCGGGCTGCGTGCGCAAACAGGGCGGCCGCCTCCTGGGCCTGGAGAAAGGTGAGGCCATTTGGTTGGACGACCCCAACCCCGAGGGCATGGTTCGGTGTTCAGGACCACTGAGCTGGGCGCCTGGTACTATTAGGGAGGGAGGATCTGGAGGTCAGGCAGGCCAAGGTGTTTGGGGTCTTGGATGGATCCCCGCAGAACAGTGTTGCTGGTCCAGAGGCAGTAGTTCTTTCCTGGGGCGCTGGTGTCCTGTGAAGGTGGGCGAAGCCAGGCACTTTCAGGGCCGGCATGAGTGGAAGGAGGCAAGAGACCCCAGAGTTGGAGTTTGAACTCATTTTGGGAGTTGCCGTGTCACTGGGTGGATTGATGAATCACGAGATTTGGAAATCGCAGAACCCTTTCCTGGCGAGTAGTTCTGAGAATTGGAAATCATAGGAGCTAGAATTTGGAGAAGTGTTTTGGGAGGCCACAGGTATGGGGACACCAGGTACTCAAGCGGGCCACTAGTCCCTGTGGGAGGTACTTTGGGAGCTGTGACCCAGAGAGCTGAGATTCAGAGGCCTCAGCCTGGGGTGGGGTTAAGGAAGGTCTTTGTGGTGGCCAGTTCCCTGCCTTCCTTCCTTTCTAGAATGTCAGGATTCAGCTGTGTTCCCGTGGGGAGTGGGTTAAAAATTCCTTCAGCCTATAGTCAGCTTACAGTATTCACCAGAGGCTGGAGGGACATATACATGCGTGACTGCAGCTGCATTCTCGGTCATGGAGCCCTCATGCTTCCTCACTGTTGCCATAGTAACTGCCTATTGGTGTATTTATAGGGGAAGAAGCAGGCGCTACATTTTGGGGAGGGATGGGGAGAAGTCATCATGGAAGCTGCAGCAGTAGCAGCAGCAGTGATGGTGGCTACGGAATTGCTAATGGGGTAGGAGGCGATGCCATGTGAACTGTCTGGGAGAGATCCTGGCTTCTTTGAGGCCCAGAAATGAACTAATGGCTTTTCCAGGCCAGGAAAACACAAACTTGGGGCTATGATGTATGTGTGTATGAGTGCACGGAAGTCCATGTGTTTGGTTGGGCCCAAAGATGGCTGTACGTAAAGCTATTATATAATTTTTTCCATGTAAATTTTTTTGAAAACTCTACGGTTCACTTCAGTAAGCAATGGGATGTATTTGCTTTATTATTAGCAAAAGCTTTGCTCATTCTTTTCAAACTGTGATGTGGCAGCTTTATTTTTCTTTAACCAAAACACCCTGTTTCCTAATCCAATTCTCTCTACATCCTCATCATATGGATCTCATGGATCATAAAGAGGCCAGGCTTTGTCATTGTGAAAATTGAGGTATTCCAGTGAAGTAATGATCACTGGGTAGTTTGCCATGAGTTCGAAAGAGAAAACCCACTACACAGTGATAGTACTATTCAATGTGCTCTTAGATTGGTTACTTTCCCCAGCATTCAAAATTTATTCATGATTCTTATCCTTTTTGTTTTCCAAACAGACTAGAAGCTATATTTTAAATATACAATAAGAATACTACTCTGGAAGAATAAATAGAAGACCATACCAAGTTGTGGGGAGAAAAGCATATGTGTGCAACAGATGGGCTTTCAGAGCACTTGTATCTGGCCATCAGTGTTAACACTGAACTTCCTGGCAGGCTAAGCAAAAAGGGTAGCATAATGGGTTACAAAGCTCATGTGTCTTACATCCCATTAGTCATAAAACATGAGCGTCTGCTTGGGGAAGGGAACTGACGGGTAATTGCTCCCAGATGTTAATGGCCTAGGCAGTACTCCATATGTGTACAAGTAGGACTGTGTTAATAGAGAAAGGCATTATGACAGTGCTTCTAGATAGAGGCCTCTCCTCCAAGTTACCATCACAGATTTATTGTACTGTATTTATTTGATTGTTTGTTGTGGTCTTGAAGATCAAACCTTAGACATTGTTGTATTAAGGAGCTATACCTCCAGACCTCTGTCTTCATGCTGATCTTTTAAATATGTGTTTACCAAGGTTCTGTGTTGCAGTAGTCTTTAATGCAAAGAGAAAAGATGTGCCTGACTCCAGAGAAGTCCAAACATCTTATCTTACTTCCCTTTCTGGGAAAGATGGGCTGAGAAGATTCTCTGAGTTTGGGCCCAAAGGTTTGGGCCAGGGCTTGTAAGAATATGTCTGTGTTGTACATGGAAGATCTGACCCTGTACAACAGGTATCCACAGATTACTGTAGGACAGCATCAGCTAGGCTGCAACATTTGAGATGGGTGTTGTTGATGCATTAAGTTTGGGATTTAAGGAACATGTTCATCTTCACCATGAAATTCAATTCCAGGTCTTGTCTCTGTCAATTTGCTTAACCTTGCTTCTACCTAACCCTATCTCTGTACTTGATTTCTCAGCTGTCTCTGGGGTCTTTTCTATTCTAAAGGGACAAAGATTCATTGAAGGCACTGAGCAATAAGGAGTGTTAGCCCAGAAATGCTTTCCATTTGAAAAAAAGTTAACCCTTAGGTCTTTGAGACTCACAGAAGGCTGTGTGTGTGCGTGCGTGCATGTGTGCGTGTGTGTGTGAGAGAGAGAGGGGGGGGGGAGGGAGGGAGGGAGGGAGGGAGGAAGGGAGGGAGGGAGGGAGGAAGGGAGGAAGGGAGAGAGGAAGGGAGAGAGAACAAGCCTCTGCTTGGTTTGGGGGAATTCTGGAGCTCTTTGAGGACAGAAGAAACAGCAGGAATTGACTGACTGAACGAGGGTATTATGCCTCATGGGATGCTGCTTTGACTTTTTAGTCAGGTAGGTGGGAGATCACATTCTAGACCCCAGAGGATTTCACCTCAACTTTCCTTTCTTCTGTGCCAGGCAAGTAAGTTGCTGGAGCTGAGGGAGCATCATGGCTGGTGAGTATTTGTGGAACCATCTGAGTTGGACGGGCTCATGCAAAACAACATATCCATCTTTTTAGTTTTTCTCTCCTTGAGTCACTCTGAATTATACTAATACAACAGTTTGTGGATCTTGGGGGAGAGGGCCTGCAGGCCAGACCTGTCAACTTGGGCATAGAGGGGTACCACCTCATGTGAGGAGTAAACAGTCTCACCACTGGTCATTGCTTTCGTCCCCAAAGCCACAGCTCTCACCTGATTTTACTCCGACCAGTGGCAGCCTGGAAGAGGAACCAGTGCTCATGATAAGGGCTCTGTCTGTCTTTCCATCTTACAGACAGATGCAGAAGCTACTAGGTGTTTTCTTACCCAAGACTAAGATACATAGTCTGGTCCTTTTTCCTGTGCCACCTGAAGTTCCTTCTCCATCGTGTCTCATTTTCCTTGGTATGGCAATGGATCTGGGCCCTGTTGGGACCCTGAGGTCCTGCTGCAGAGCACAGCATCGCAGCAGCATAGGAAGTCAGCCCTCCTATCTTCATTGCAATAGGTCAGGCCTGGCCTTTGCTTGGAGGCCTGGCTTTAGGTCTGCTGGAATTGTTCTATTTCCCTTCATAATTGAGCAGTCTGGTTTGTAGGGACTGAATTGCTTCACTGTGGTTCTCTCTTCAGTGTTTCTGGAAGCCAAGAATGCCCATGCAGTCCTGAAACGGTTCCCTCGTGCCAATGAGTTCCTGGAGGAGCTGCGTCAGGGCACCATTGAGCGGGAGTGCATGGAAGAGATCTGCAGCTATGAAGAGGTCAAGGAAGTATTTGAGAACAAAGAGAAAACGGCATGTACTACCCTGCTGCTGGGTTCTGGGAGGAGGTGCAATCTTGGGAATAATAGGAACAGGTCTAAAACAAGGGAAGAACACCACCCAGGCTACATCCTACTTGTTGGAGCCCCCAAAGCAGCATTGGGGTGTCACTCTAGGTTTGTTGCTTTATTTGTGTGAACTTCCTCATCTGGGTACTTTGCCTTTCATCCTCAGTGAATTCCCCAGACTCTCTGGGAGCTCTCTTAGGCCAGTAAGATGACTTAGGGTGGAGAAGGAACCACAAGCCTGTCCTTAGTACATTATTTGCTGGAGGTCTCAGATGTCCCGGGCATGAATGTTGTTAGGTGAGCAATTCCTTGTTGTGTCTGTCTTCCTCAGGAGTGAATGGCCCTTCTTCTTTTGCAGATGGAGTTTTGGAAGGGATACCCGAATGCGGTCTACTCAGTCCGAGATCCCTCGCAGAGCTCAGACGCCATGTATGTGGTGGTGCCCCTTCTGGGGGTAGTCTTGCTGATTGTCATTGCCTTGTTCATCATCTGGAGGTGCCAGCTGCAGAAAGCAACTCGTCACCACCCCTCCTATGCTCAGAACCGGTACCTAGCCAGTCGTGCTGGGCACAACCTCCCCCGAGTCATGGTATACAGGGGCACTATGCATAGCCAGGGAGAGTCCTCTGGGCACCGAGAGGCAGGGAATAATCCACAGATAGTCCTGGGGCCCAGCCGGGGAAGTAGAACCACCGTCCGACTGGAGAGCACCCTCTACCTCCCTGAGCTCTCTCTCTCCAGACTGTCCAGCGCTACCCCTCCCCCCTCCTATGAGGAGGTGACTGCACCCCAGGAGGGCAGCAGTGAGAATGCCAGTGTCTCTTACAGTGACCCTCCCCCAAAGTATGAAGAGATTGTGGCAGCCAGCCCCAATGCAGATAAGTAGCTGAGCATGGGCCCTGGCTTGTATAAAAGCCTCTTCCAGAGGTAGCCTGCTTCTTTTTGGACTTCTGAAAGACTGTGCCACCACAAAACAGCCTTAGCCTCCTTGTTGCCAAATAATTCCCCAACCATGGATTTGTAGGAAGTCAGTTGGTAGAGACAGTTGGTGTGTGTGTGTGTGTGTGTGTGTGTGTGTGTGTGTGTGTGTGTGTGTGTGTGTTTGTGTGTGTCGGGGTGGGGACCATAGGACAAGTGTATGATCCCCCTGGGAAAAGCTACAGACCTGAACGCCCGGGTCTTCCAGACCCCACCCCACCACTGCCAAGTCCCCAATGTCCTGCCCTATCTTTAGGGACTAGCTTCTCTTATGCCAAAGGAAACATCTCATGGTGTTTATTGTGACCAGAATGTCCACAGGCTCATCCTGGTGGCTATGGGGCTGTCTAGGAACCCCTGTGTATCTGGGGACCTAGGCCACAGAGATGAGACGGTCAAGCTAGCCCTGTGGTTTCCCCTTTCTCCACAGTTCCATGCCTACTGTTCTTATTTATATTATGAGGACAGAAACAAAGATTGATCTAGGAACAAAACACAAATAATAACAAGTGAACCATAAATGAAAATAATATAACCTGGACCATTTGAAGCCCTCCAAAAGAAATCAATTAGACAGACCTTGGCACAGCCTTCCTCCAACACCCACCCTTATGCTCCTGACCAGGGTGAAGTCTATGTATAGATCAACCTGGTAGGAGGACAGGGGATCGGAAGGAGGAGGGAAAGGGGCTGGGTGGCAGAGCTCCTTCCAGACCAACCAAGGGGCCCACTTCAACTCTGCCATCTTGTTTGTGATGTGTACCAGCTGTGCTAAAATCAGTCCCCACTGGCACAAGCCCACATGTAGCCTTGGAGAACTCTTTTGTGGGGAAAACTGATGTCCTCTTCTCCCATGGATCCCAGGGCCTCTCCCTGGCTGTTCCAGACTGGCACAGCGAGCTCAAGATTCCTTCTTTGTGAGACTGCTAAACCCATAGGATAGTTCAAACCATGAGCACCACCTCCTTGGCACTGTGTTGTCTGGCTTTCCAGTTTTAGGATACTTCCTTTTTTGTAAATAGGTGCATTGAACTTGAACTTTAGATTGTGATTTCTCCTAATGATGGTGCCCGTACAGGGAGAAGCTCCTGAAGTGTCTCTTAAAAATTTTCTTAGTGTGGGAGCCCGTGACCTGGAGTCTAAAGTCCACCTGGGGTTTGCTCTGCCATGGCAAGGTGCTGATCTGCTTTCAATGAGGCTTGGGAAGATGTTGGGTAGAGGTGACTTGTTATTTAATCAAGGATGAGGTAAAAGAGTTTGTTGATACGATCTCTACCTGCCCCAGCTCTATTCTCCTGGTGTCTGTGCCAAATCATTTTTCCTCTGTGGTGCTTTAAAAATGTAGCACATTTGTGTGGGGCCCAAAAACAGTGCATAGCGTGGGTCTGTTGGCAATGGTTTCCAGCCCACAGAGTTGACAAGCTTCCTTCTGTCTAAGCAGCCCTTCGAGGCAGACACTGAGACACATTCCTTGAGTGCAGCCCTACCTTGAGGCCCCAGATGACTTCTACAGGCTGTTCCAGTACAGGGGACTTTCCCGGGGGGTTGTTTCTAGTCGAGCTCGTGTTCTTACCCCAGTGAGGTTGCCAGCTTGGATAACTCCACCCTGTGGCTCCCCTACCTCACAGGCCCATTGGAGGCTGATGGAGCTAATGCATTGTGAAGAGCTTGAAGCCCCTTGGAACCAGTGAAGTTTACCCTTAGCAAGATTCTCCTAGAAATAGGTAGTAGCTGTAAGGGACTGGTTTTAGGCAAGGGCTTCAAATGCCTCTGGTGTTGAGTGCCAACCTGAGGAGTCAATCTCTTTCCACTTTACTCTACGTGGGCCTTCCTCTCTCTCCAGTTTCCTGACACCAGAAATGACCAAATGGCATTCTTCCCTCCGTCCCTTCATTTTGATCTTTTCCCCTCCCTCCCTTCCTGCTTTCTTTCCTTCATGTTTCTCTTCTTCCCTTTTCCTTCCATTCATTTTTCTTTTTATTCTTTCTCTCCATTGGTCATCTAGTATTGCACCCTGGCCCTTCCTAACGAAGGGATTTAGGGCTCAGAAGTCCCTTGCTTTTTTTCGTGATGGAGACTGGGCTCAGTCTCATCCAGATATGATGGAGATCCTGGGGAAGCTGGAAGCTCTGGGTCAGCCCAACCTCTGCATTTTATTAAGCTGGTGCCTGATTGTGACCTGGGATATATGAAGACAAACTTACTCCAATGTGACTCCTCCCCCCAGCTGGCAGAGAGTCAGGCATAGTGACCAGAGCCACAGAATATGTCAAGGAATGCCCACTGCCTTTGGCGTGGTTGAGCTGCCTGGCAGCTAGAGGCTAGGGATGCTTGAGTAAGAGCAGGAAACTGACTCCCGAGGCCTTTTGAGAGCGATATGCAGCCCTCAGGAGCTGAGGACTGGATGCAGGGTGAGTGAGTGAGTGAGTGCGTGAGTGAGTGAGAAGCAGCTCCTTGCATGTGGCCTGTGGACTCTGGGTCAGGTGCTTCACAGAGCTCTTCCAGGTGACTTGTGCCAAGCCTCTGCAATGGTTTTTCGCAGCATAGTGTTTAGATATATAATGGGCATAATTCCTCAAGGTGCACACTTGGCTTTTGCGAATGCCCTGTACATATCTTTTCAAACTCTGTCTTTGTATAGACATTGATTTGATACAATGCTAACACTTCAGTAGTCACAGTTTTGTTTGTTTGAGACTTGTGTATGCTTGTGTGTGTGTGTGTGTGTGTACATGTGGGCATGTTGTCTTCTCTCATTGCTTCTATCAAATGATAGCTGGTTTGTGGTTCTATTTGTCCCAGGAGGGATCTGTTCTGACGGGAAGACTGTCTTCATTAGTGGGGCCTGTACTCTGTTGGATCCCCTCCAACGTTTTGGCATGGTGTCCCCTTCCTCAGCTCCTGCTCTGTAGGTGTCAGCAGCTGAAGGAAATCTGAGAACTTTTGTGTGTGTGTGTGTGTGTGTGTGTGTGTGTTTGACTATTGTCTTTCAGAATGGTGGGGTTAGTTACTTAGATATTTTTCACTAAAAATGAAAAGGCTTTAAAATTTTCCTTAAAATATGACTGTCACCTGTTTTCAACCAAACCCTTTGTAAGACTTTTTTAAAACGAATGGCAACCCTGTCAGTCCCCTCCCAGATGGCCCATCACTTTGGGTTTTCAAAATGAAAGCACAAAAAAAAAAAAAAAAAAAGAGTGGGGCGCACAGGTGCCTGGCATGTGCATACCCCTGCACAGCTGTGTTGCGCCCTAGCTGATCAGAGAGGTGTGATCACAAGCAGCTGGACCTGGGAAACTGGGACCCCCTCTGCTAGTTGCCAATTCCACTGCCATTAGTGTGAATTCCTTAGGGTGCTCCAGTGAACAAGCGTCTGCCCAATTGTTTGGACATTGTCCTTTTGGTAGTCCAAACATTAGGGATTAGGGACAGCAGTGTTTTCTGTTCAAGCAGTTCGAGCCAGATGCTTCCACTCTCCCAGTGGATGGCAACTCCACAGATCCTAGCCAGAGTTGATGGATCCTTTGACAACCAAATGGCATCCCATGAGAAAACGAAGAAAAAAAAGCCAACATTGCCACTAGATTGTCTTTTAATTCGAGTGAGAGTTAATGGCGGAGAGAGGGTGTGAGTCCCCAGGACTGTGTCTTTTTAGAAGAGTGCATGTGTGCTCTCACTGTGTGTTTGCTCACAGTAAAGCCTGAGTTGTTGGGCTGGGCTGCTTTTCAGCTTGTCAAGTACTGAAGCTCCATTCCCAGGCGTCACCAGTTCTGAAACAGCCACATCTTCTGCACTGAAGTCTCCTAATACTAATCAGTATAATTAGCTAATTGTAGACTGCTGTAATCAGAATGCTTCCCACTACAGTAAAAGCCCATTAATTTGAGCCCACTAATTCAGAACTTAGAGGAAATCCAAATTGGAGATAATTCCCAGTAACTGCTATTCTTGCTACAGAAAAATATTTGAAAGTGTCTTCCCTCAGTCAGTCTTCAGGGCCTTCTTTGTGAAAGGAATTCGGTTTAAAATAGGTACCCCTTTCAAAGGAAAAGCTCGAGGTATCAAAGATTTCTTCATTGTGCCTTCAGCTTAGAGTTTAGCAGTTTTTGTGCGTAAGGCTCTTTCTGTGCAGGGTGATCCCTTGTTCTCTCTCCATTGTGGAATGTTAGATATTGCAGCCTTTCACTCTGTGTCTGTATTTAGCCTGTGAATAACATAGTCTGTGATCTTGACTGCAGTTTTAACACCAGTACGTGTTTTTCAAAGTCTTCTGTAAAGCAGATGTTGCACTCATTCATCCCCAAGTCTTCAAACTTTGGAGCTTCCCCTTTCCCAGGCTGTGGGAGGCAAATCTCTCTCTAGCAAGAATTTCTCTGACAAAGATCTGCAAACAGCATACCCCCTCAGCTCAATGCCTCGACAGTGTTTCACTGTACTGCTATCTGACCGCTGAACGTGCCTGCCCTTCTCCAGCCCCTAGCAAGCATTAAGACTGATATCTAGAATTGGGACCAACCTTCCAGCTGCTTTTTTCCTCTCAAGCTGTCTTGCCTCACTGATGCCACTTTCCCAGGCCTGAATCCACCTGCTATTTCACTCTGTCATTGTGAATTTGTGACAGTGGCAACCCTGATATGTGCAACTGAGCTTATAGAAATGATTGCTGTGAAATGGATTAATTTTGGTACAATTAGAAGCTGTGCTTGTTTTCATTGTTGACCGATGTCAGCTGGGACATCTGTACATTCAGTCACATGTTGGGGTTTCAAATGGAGCCTGGGAGCAACAAACCAACTTGCTTCTGACCTGACCTTTCCCGTGCATGCTCTCTGGCTCCCTTTTTACAACCATTGAGTTTAGCTGTTAACTTTTGTCTTTCTGTATAAGAAAATAATGAGTAAAAATAAAGAGCAAATGGCATCCACTTGTACCTTGTCCTGGTCCATCATAGATCCTAGATGATTCCCTAAGTTTCCCAGAGTGTGTAAGGCTGCGGGGTCAAACTCCTGGACCCAAAAGTCAGATTGTATAGATAAGGGAACAGCCCAAACCAGTTTAGGAGCCAGTTGGAAGCAGAGATAGTCTGGGTCCTAAAGTTTGTGCCTACAGTGTGTAATCTGATCCTCTGTCCCAACCCCCCTTTATGGGATGAGGTTAGTAAGATCTGGCACAGATCTTGTTTAGCAACTTCCTAGTCACCTGATCCCTGGTTAGGTGAAGGCTCTAGAACAGATCCCAGCACAAGCTGGCTCTAGGAGCTTTCCCCAGAGATAAGGCTAGCACCTGCAAGGAAGCTAATGCCCTTAGAGTCCCCAGCCTTCCCAAGTGTCCTTGGTGAGGAGAATGCATGGGCTGTTTCTAAATGTTCACAACCAGAATTTGGTGACTAGTCAGTTTGTATTAGGCCCTGTACCTGTGTGAATTCAAACAGTCCTCCCAAGGTATGGGGTTTCTAATCAACTCTTATTTTACAGCTGGGGAGACACAGCCAGATTGGGGAAGCCATTTGACTACGGGTTTATGAGGAAGAGGTGGTACGCTTATCTCATGATTGCAGAGTTTTCCTCACTTAACTCACCTCAGGCTATTCCTGCAGGATGGTGGGGCCTCCCTCAGAGAAAGCTCTGAGGTGTTGGCTGTCCATTTCTTCAACACGGCCCTGCCTTTCCTATTCTGCTGCTTCTTCAGAAGTGCAGTGATCACGTAGTTGCAAACCAGACCCTGAACGTGTTTCTTCCCTGACACTCGTGGAAGGACTCATGACAACTACCAAGGTCTCTATGGGCGGGTAAAGCCAGAAGAGGAGAAGTTGAGCCCCTCTGTAGGATATGATATGAAAGCCTAGGACCCTCCCCGCAAAAGACAAAAAGTTTGGATCACCTCCTCTGAGTTTTCTAGATGAAACATACTGTTCTCAAGAATCACAAGAGTAGTAACTCCAATAATAATGGTGATTTCCTGCACTCCTGCCAGAGAATTCAAACTGTGGGATTTATTCAGTTCAACTAGGATGTGCATGTAATTAAACAAGACATTGTGGGGCTGGAGAGATGGCTCAGCAGTTAAGAGCACTGGCTGCTCTTCCGGGAGACTGGGGCCAGCTCGCAGGCCCACATGTTTGCTCACAACCATATGTAATTTCAGTTTCAGGGGACCCTCACCCTTTTCTGGCCTCTGCTGGAACTGCACACATGTGGTGCATATACGTGCATGCAGGCCAAACATCCACACATGTAAAATAAAATAAGAAACAGAAGAATGTTTTCTATTAGTCTGGTGCTACTGGATCCCAGGAACCCAATGGGTAGGGCAGTCAGTGATGATGCTTTAAAGCTGAGAGTACATACAAGGTTAGGTGCTGGTAGAGCATCAACAAGCTAAGAAATCCTTGCCTAGAGTCAGGCTGCAAGGTTCCAGAGGGTGTAGAGTATAGCAAGCCAAGTCCCAGCCACCAGCAGCACTGAGCACAGCTGGGGCTGGTATGTAAAAATCTATAATTAAGGTAAAGGTTGAACTTAGAATTTAGAGAAGACCAGCAGGGCTTGATATGGAGGCTCCATGAGAAAGCCTTCTTAAGGACACCATGGCCAACTGAAGTAATTTTTAGCAGAGGACATGGAAGTCAAGTCAATGAAATCAGGCAGAAGGGTAATAAATGAAAAATCCTGGAGTCTAGCAACCCCTTCCTGTTGTTAAGGAAATAAGAAGCCAGGGTAGCGTGAGGGAAGTGTTGTAAAAGATGAGGTGCAAGGCCATTTAGAACATCTTCAGAATGCTGTCTGTGCTAGTGATAGCGGGAGGCCACAGAGAAGTACTAGAAAGAGCAGCAAGACCTGCTATATGGAGAGAAGTCTGGAGAGGATCAGAAATCAAATGGCCAGGTAGGAAGGCCAGGTGTTTGCAATCATTCTGATGGGTGACAGCAGTTAGAGGAGACAAAGAGAAATATACTATTGATAAGACTTTGCTCTAACTTAAGTAGACATTATGGCCATGTGGCCATTTAAAATGAAGATTATGGAAATTTTGAAACCACAGGAAGGCCTTGGGACTAGGAAGATGCATTGTTATCCAAATTAGTCCAGTTGATTCTTTTTGGGGGATTTTTGGGTCACCCTGGAAGAAAGAAAGACATATTTTAACTGGGAGGCAGAAACCTGTAAGGGGACTGATAATTAGAAAGGGGGAAAGCCATTCAGATTTAGATGGTAGAGTCATTACCTGTGAATGGATTCACTGGAGGAGCAACAGGTTGGGAGAAACAGACTGGAGATTCATTCTGGGATAACTGAATCAAAAAGAAAATGAAACTAAGCTTGGATGTATGTAGCTGGAGACTTTTCTCCGTCCCTCCTGGTCCCCTTAGACTGATTTCTTTTCTGCCTGCTGGTCCCTGCAGCCACTTATAAAATAATCATTCAGAGCTTAATATTAATTATAATTGTTTGGCCAATAAGCTCAGGCTTCTTAATGACTAGCTCTACAAATAAATTAACCCATTTATTTTTATATTCCTTTTTTTTAATTTATTAGATTTTTAAAAAAAATGCCAATCTAAGTTCCCACTCCTTCCCCTCCTCCCATTCCACCCTCCCTCCCATCCCACCCCCATCCAATCCTCAGAGAGGGTAAGGCACATTGCCTTGTGGAAGGTCCAAGGCCCTCCCTACTATATCTAGGCTGAGCAAGGTATCCATCCAAAGAGAATAGGATCCCAAAAAGCCAGTACAAGCACTAAGGATAAATCCTGGTGCCACTGCCAGTGGCCCTCAGTCTGCCCCAGCCATGCAACTGTCAACCACATTCAGAGGGACGAGTTTGGTCCTATGCTGGTTCCTTCCTAGTCCAGCTGGAGTTGGTGAGCTCCTATTAGCTCAGGTAAACTGTTTCAGTGGATGAACCCATCATGGTCTTGAACTCTTTGTTCATATTCTCATTCCTCCCACTCTTCAGCTGGACTTTGGGAGCTCAGTCCAGTGCTCCGATGTGGGTCTCTGCCTCTGCCTCTGCCTCCATCAGTTGCTGGATGAAGTTTCTGTGGTCATAGTTAAGATAATCCTCAGTTTGGCTACAGGACAAGACTAGATCGGGCCCCCTATACTGCCCAGGGTCTTAGGTGGAGTCTTCCTTGTGCATTCCTGGGAATTTCTCTAGGGTCAGGTTTCTGCTAACCCTATAATGGCTCCCTCAGTCAAGAAATCTCTCTCCTTGCTCTCAGCTCTGTCCTCTCTCCATGTCGACCACCCCATTCCCTCAAGTTCTCCTCTGCCCTCCTTGTCTCCTACTATCCTTCCCTATCCCCCACCCCCATGCTCCCAACCCTTCCAGTCAATCCTGTCCCTTTCCAATTTCCAGGTGGGTCTCTCTATATTTTTTATTGGGTTCAACTTATTACTTAGCTTCTCTAGGATCATAAACTATAGGTTAATGCCCTTTGTTTATAGCTAGAATCCACTTATGAGTGAGTACATACCATATTCATCTTTTTGGGTCTGGGTTACCTGACTCAGGATAGTGTTTTCTAATCCCATCCATTTGCCAGCAAAATTCAATTTTTTTTTTTTAAACACTGAGTAGTACTTTAATGTGTAATGTGCCACATTTTCTTTATACGTTCTTCAGTTGAGGGACACCTAGGTTGTTTCCAGGTTCTGGCTATTACAAATAATGCTGCTATAAACATAGTTGGACAAATGCTTTTGTAGTATGATTGAGCATCTTTTGGGTATATGCCCAAGAGTGGTATTGCTGGATCCTGAGGTTAAGTTGATTCCCAATTTTCTGAGAAACCGCCATACTGATTTCCAAAGTGGTTGCACAAGTTTGCATTCCCACCAGCAATTGATGAGTGTTCCCCTTACTCCACATCTTCTCCAGCATAAGCTGTCATTGGTGTTTTTGGTCTTAGCCATTCCAACAGGTGTAAGAGTTTGTTTTGATTTGCATTTCCTTGATAGCTAAGGGTGCTGAATATTTCCTTAAGTATCTTTTGACCATTTGAGATTTTTTTTTCTCTTGAGAATTCTCTGTTTAGTTCAGCACTCCATTTTTTAATTGGGAAATTAACCCATTTCTAATAATCTGTGTAATATCACATGCCCTGTGGCCTACCGGCACTGGCAATGCTCTGGCATGTTATTCCTCTAGCATCTGCTGGCATCTGCCTGATGCTGACTTCTTTCCCCCTGTCTCTCTGCTTGGATTTCCTGCCTATTTATATTCTGCCCTTCCATAGGCCAAAGCCACTGTATAGGCAGGTGATGAAGCCTCTTCAGGTCTCAAGATCTGCTATTTGGTCGGGGGGTAGCAATTCCTGGGTTAGTAGAGATAAAAGGAGAATCTAGAATATGGAGTGGGCAGTGAAAGAAGTTTTCAACAATAGGATGTGACTGCCCCATCTTTTTGATGTTTAGTGGCTGAAGACTGGGAAATTAGCCAGGAACAACAAAATCACCTTGACCTTAGTGGCTTCCTCAGTCGCTGAGCCAGCTTCCCTCCTAAGAGGGAGCCATCAGTCAGGTAATGTTCAGTAGTGACCTAGAGATACAGCAGAGTAGCCTCTGGCTGTGAGCAATAAGGTATAGTGTAGGGTTGTTGGCATTGAGTTCTGCCTCCTGGAATGTAAGCTAAGACTGGCTCTGTCTGAGGCTCCAACTTAACTTCACTGGAATAATTCATCCCCTTTACTGAACACATTTATAGTCATTGCGGAGAAGGTATTGTGTGATTGAGCAAACTGTCCCTTTGTTCTTCCTGTTATGCTGAGAAAATTCTAGTCAGCACCCATCACATTCTAAAAGAAGCAAGCATAGCTAGAGTCCTCAAAAATCCATGTATTTTCTCTCTGTCTCATTGATGCTATCTGCCTATACAACATAAACTCCAAAAAGACATTAACCAATTATGCTCAATATATAGTCCTGCCCATCACTGTCTCAGTTCCAATCCTACAAGATGATCTTCGAAATTGTTAACCTGTTAATCACTGCTATCATCACGCAGCCATTTAAGCTACTTTAGGATGTAGCCTTGCCATCACAGATGATTGCCTTCGTTTGGGAGCTGCATACATAACCGTTTTCATCTTGAGACCAGCTTTTCCTACAAGACTTTGCTGTTCTTGCAATCCAAGGTGAATGCAGGTTTAGGACGATGACTTACCTTTGTGTCTGCAGCCTTGATGGAGGATTAATAAACCAGGAAGGCAGGTGCTTCTTGGAAGATTAACATTTGTATGTAGACTCAAAGTAAACAAGATAGACACAAAGAACAGGCAGCAATGGCAGACCTTCATCCTGTTGTTAGTCACCTTGTGGGTCTTAAAGCCAAAGCAGCTCCTGTGTGTCGTTCTCCCTCCTCATCTCTAGTTACCTTCCTTTTCCCAAATAGTTTCACAACAGAGTTAGAAGACCTCATGCTCATGGATCAACAGAACTACTACTAAGAAAAGGGCTACCACTTTTTACTGCCCTCCCTCTGCTCACAAAGACTTTCCTCCTCCAGGCCTGCAGCTTGACCCAGGGCCCTTTTGTTTGTACATCCTGCCTCTTTAAGGCTTCTTCTCTGGGCTCCCTTCTCTTTCCTGTCTAGTGGGGGTAGTAGCCTGGGGCTTGAAGTATGACATCAGTACCAGCTGCTTCCAGGAGGCTGAAGAATTGTTTACTGGTCTATGAACCTCATTAGCAAGCAGAGAGGAAGCTCCAAGCAGATATGATCTGGTGGGTTCACTTGCCTGAGTTGGGGGATGCAGCTAAGACTGGGCTATAGGCAGGCCTTGGAGGCAGGAGGTCATTGTACCCAATGGTGTTTGGGATTTTCGTCAAGACCTTTTGTTATTGAATTATTACTTGCTGTGATGGTTAAAACTGCAGTTTGACACAACATAGAATCACCTGGGAAAATGGTCTCAATGAAGGATTGTCTGCATCAGGTTGGCCTGTGGGTGGTGTCTAAATTAAATTAATAATGCAAGAGTGCAAGGATTGAGCTGAGCACACATGCATTCATTTCTCTCTGCTTTGACTGTGGATATGATGTGACCTGCTGTCTGAAGTTTGTGAGTTGAATTTCCCCCAATGATGAATTCTAAACTGGGATTGTGAGCCCCATAATCACCTCTTTATGTCCGGAGGTGCTTTTTGTCAAGGGTATTGTATCAGATGAACAGAAATGAAGCTAGAATATATAGGAACGCCAAAGAAGAAACTGGTTAAGAGCATACTGTCCTACATGGAATAAGCCTAGGTCTATTAGGAAGCCCTGTTTTCTTCCAGTGTACTTTTCTGAAACAACAAAATACAGTTTAAAATTTTGGTTTGGCTCAATCCTCCACATGAAGATAGGAAACTGCAGTTCAGAGAACAAAAAGAAGCAACTTTTCCAAGATGCCCCACTGACTAGCCTAGGGGTCAGTTGCTGCTAACTGACTCTAGGCCTGGGCTTCTGCCATCTCCCGCCGCTGCTGCCAGAGCAGGTGGAAAGGGAATCCGAGTAGAGTGCTCAGCTTGTGGAACAGCTGGAAGAGGCGAAGGGCTGAGAAGCTTTATTGGAAGCAAGTGATGCAGCCTGAGAACAGGCCAACACACACACACAAGCACACGCATGCACGCATGCGTGCACACACACACACACACACACACACACACACACACACAGAGAGAGAGAGAGAGAGAGAGAGAGAGAGAGAGAGAGAGAGAGAGAGAGAGCAACATTTTAGTTTGTGTGGTTAGATGCCTTCTCTTTGTAGAAACTAAATACCTTTCAGGGTTAAGTCTGAAACGTGCATATAATTTTAATTGGATATGTTTGGTCCCAGTGGAGCAACACCTTAAGGAAAAGCTGATACATTTCCCGTGAAGAAACTTGACTTGAAGGGAGAGAAAGCTTTCACCCTCCATCCCCTTGTGCTAATAACACAGCTCATATTTTAATAAAGATTCAAGCCCTCAAGCAGATACTTCATAGGGAAGAAATGTAGATCAATAAACAAATGAAAAATGGCTCAGGTTTATTCATAATTAAAGCAATATAAATTAAAACAACAATGAGATAACATTTTCACCCATCGTAAGGATGCTTATTTAAATAAGTCCCATAATATCTTTTGTTGATACTGCTGTAGAAAAAAAAAACATTTTATTTCCTTGGTGGGTCCCACCTTGTGCCGCCTCTTTGGATGCACTTTTATAGTAGTTGGCGAGTACAACTCCCAGTTATCAACACACATGCCTTTGAACCTTGCAGTGTCTCTTCCTGTTCTGTGGATCCATTTGTGCAAAGAGGAATGCCCAGAAACACTCAATCCCGCTGCTTTCTAGAATAAACAGCTCTGAGCACTCATGGCATTCACAGGTCAGGGGAGGAAGCTAGTGGGATGAGTTGAAAAGAAATTTAATACTTCTGTTCACATGTAGCTGGGGACTCCAGAACATACTGTTCACGTACAAAATAAGTTGGCTAATAGCATGGTCCTCAGAGATAGGATTTCATCTGTGCGAGCTCTTTGTACACTGCAGACATAGAGACACACCTGTAATCCAGAAATGCTCTGATCTCTTCCCGTTTGCAGAGACATCTGTCTAACTTCCATGTGAGAACACCTTGGCTTCTTCTCTGGGAGCCTACCATTGAAGCACCAGCTTTCTGCACCCCACTTTGCACACTTGGCCATGGCCATCCTTCCAGACCTGGGTATGATGGAAGACTTGGCAAAGCTGTAGACCTTTGAAATACCAAGATTAGCAGACTAGACAGTGGAAGACTTTCAGAGTATTTGGTTTTTAAGTTAAGCGACATTTCAAATGGAAATTATGTTATGGATAAAGTTATGTAAAGACGTGTACTAAGAAACAAATTTAAAGTCATGCAGAGGACTGTGTCTTGTCTCCCAGCCATCCTTGGCACCCAGTTCGAGAGAAAAAGGTACATTAAAAATAAAGTGCTGGTGTTTTTGGATGATCTTGGAGGCCCAGGAATGGGGAACAAAGTCTCTCCACTCTTGCTTTGATTCAGGTGTTGGCTTTCTTTGCCACCAGGGGGCAGTGCCTCCACATGTACAAGGACCAATGTTTCTGTTCCCAGGAAGGCCCAGTGGGTCAAGTCCAGTAGGTAGCAGAGGCGAATCTGTACTAGGAACCTTAGCTCAGGTCCATGTGGCAAGTCAGTGCTGCTGACTTTTGAGCTCTTCTCCCCATCTAGCCCCTGTAGAAAGAGAAGACTGTTAGCTCCATTGTCTATCAGACAGACTAGGTCACAAGCAATAGCACTGTTCCACCGATACTGAGGAGGAGGAAGGGCAGTACAAGGCTGTCAAATAAAATACAGGATATCCATTTACATTTGAATGCTGGATTAACATGAATAATTTTATTGTAAGTAGAATCTAAGTGTTGCATGGAACACAATACTGATGCTAATAATGATTTTTCTTACCTAAAGTTCAAATTTATTGGCTTGCATATTTTGATTCTGTCGTTGACAGAAATGTAAGGCTCAGCGCCTGGAGCTCTATGTTTAACCTGGGCGCTTTCTCTGCTGCTAAGATCTGCTCTTCCACAAAGCTCAGGTTTCACTGGGACTGTTTCCAAGGGGAGAATTGTTAAGGCCCTCAGGAATGCAGTAAGGTCTCACTTATTATATTATTTCTGTGTTTGATAAGTGGGTTTGGCGGGGAGAGGTCAACAAGCCACATTCTCTCCACTAGTCGGGTTTTCTCCCCTTCCTTCCTCCTCCTCTTCTCCTCTTCCCCTAGTCTTGCTTCTCTTTTCCTCTTCCAAGCTGGGCTCAGCTGTGATTGATTCTTTTGACAAATAACCCCCTCTTCCTTCAGTGGCTCTGGACTTAGAGCCCAGTTTTGACCATTACTAATTATATCAACCCAAGGCGCTACAGAGAACCATAGCAGCCAGAATGCACATGCAGATGCCTAGGTATATAGACATTCCTTTAGATGATTGGCTCCTGGGACTACAGGGAAGGCGGCTGGCTGGGAATTTGGGCAAGAATTGTTGCTGCAATCCTGGGGCAGACTTTATCTTCCTCCTGAAACCTTAATGTTTACACTTGATTCTTTCAGATTGGTTGAGTACTAGCACCTGACTGAGTGGAAAGCCCTTTGCTTAAAGTCCACTAGGGATAATAATCACAGCTACAGTATGCCTTTGCAGTCATACTGAGAGCTGAGTGTCTGATGGGTTCACTGGGGATCAGGACCTGACTAAATTGACACATGCAGCTGGTCTAATCTGTAGGGAAACTGAGGCAGAACTGAAACATACATCAGGATAACAAGCCCAGCATGTGTCCCTCTTGTCCCTCTCTGCTTCATGCCCAGGATTCAGATCAGAGAAGACCATGCACTTTGCTTGGAGACTCTATTGGAGGAAGCAGGATGTTCTGTACAGAGAATCTCCTCTGATAGAGTGCTGTACCCTAGATTATTGGCCAGTGCTGTGCTTGTAGGAACTATGATAAGCATGGGACCCATCACTGCTTTGGGCACTTATGGGTGCTTGAGCCCTATGCCAGCCCTTGTCTCATCTTAGATCATGATGGAGGATGAGCCCCTCCTACCAATAACTAACAAAATCAAGGGGAGATGAATCGGGGCAACTCCCACAAACAGCACAATCTGGAGCCCTATCTCTTCTCCAAGTTGTTTACACAGCAGAAGAGAAGAAGGCTATGAGACCCACCAGCAAGATATAGTGGGAACACAAGGTGCCAATCCAAGGCCTAAGCACAGAGAGGGAGAGCTGGCTCCACCTTCTTATGCCAGTATATCTCTCTTGCATTTCTATCTCTGAAAGAGGCAAGCTTCCCTTCTCTTCTCTGTGCCTTCCACCCTGAGTATCCTTACAAACGAATACCTGGTGGTGATGGCAGGAAGCCCTTCCCGTGTCAAAGAAGAGTTAAAAATGTCCACTTCTGAAGATCTAGGGACTGGAAACATCACTCAAAACCAAGAACAGCCAGTGATGCCAGGTGAGAATCTCCTAAAATGCTTCTTGACTATAGTCAATCATGTGTGTCCACTTACGTTTCTTCCACAGTATCCCACAGCAATTGAGTACGCTGTTCACTTAGTCTGGAAGGTATTTGTTTTAGGTCTTTCAGTGTTGACTCTTGCTTTTCTCCTACCATATTAGCCTGTTTTGGGGTTTTAATCATTTATGAGCTATTTGCTTATCTGAATCTAAATGAATGGAATTATTTTCTTTTATTATTTTCTATTTTAAATTTTTATTCATTTTTCATGCCACCCTTCTTCCCTTTCTCTTGTTCCTGCCACTTCCCCCTTGATTATTTTCTTATTTGTATTTCCTATTATCCCTTACAGAGAGATGGTTGGTGTTTGGGATTTCATTTCTTGATCATTGCCCACTCCACAGAATCCTAGGCCCGGAGCCAGGTCTTCAGTAAATATATTTACTGGTCAGACGAATAAATAGGTTGGAGGTCAGAAGTAAATGAATAGTGAGTGATTTCTGCTGTCTTTGGTACCCAGAAAGTCCTCATACAGCTTTTAACACTATTCATAGCAGTCTCGGTTCTTTTTTCTAGAAATGACAGAACATGGGTCCTGGTCACTGGGGGGGAATCCAAAGACGTTCAAGGGCAGAGCAAAAACATGCTGGATCTAGCTCAGGACAGTCATTTTGCAATGTGACTGGACGATATCTGGGGGCAGGGTGGGATGATTGCATCTATAGAAAACACATGCAAGATTTTTTTTCTTGCCATGATTCTCTACACAATACAGTATAAGAACTACTTAGATAGCATTTACATTTTATTAGACATTATAAATGATATAAAATTATTTCAATTATATAAGAAGATATGCTTGTGCTATATTCTAATATTATGACCTTTTACACAAGGGACTTGAGAATCTGCAGATTTGGGTAACCACAGGGAGGGAGTTGTTCCAGAAACAGTCCCCATGGGAACCAAGGAATGACTATACAATTCTTTATAAACCTCCATGGTATGAAATGTTTCTTTTTAAATTACTTAAAATCAAATTGAGGGTTTACATTCTTCTTCAAGAAGTAGATTGGCCTTTCAAGGGATACCTGCATGTAAAAGTTCTACCAGAGGACAAAGAACGTTACTGCATTTTTCTTGACACAGCATGCAAGGCTAGAAGCTACCAATAGGCAGTGGGGGGGGTACAGGAAGATGATGACATTGTGGGGTGCACTGTTGATTCTAGCACAATGTGGGGCTGAACAGGTGACTTGAAATGGTGTTTTCTTCTTTCTGTAGGGACACCAAATGCAGGTGCCCCGGTGCCAAGAGATCAGAGGCCTGGGGATGCCCATCTCCAGGACTTTCCTGGCAACTTCCAAGGGGCGGGGTCCCCTTATGAGTGGTAAGAGCTCAACTCTCTTGTTCCTGGCTACTTGGGGAGGAACATGCCAGGGTCAGGGCCATAGAGACTGGTGAGCATCCAAGTCAAGAAGTAGTTGAATGTACCTTAAGTATTAGGGTACTTTTGCCTCCTGGCCATTTGGAATCTTCATATGCTCTGGCAAACCCTCGGCCCTCTTTACTACACAAGGGAAGGGTTGGAGTTTTATCCAAAAAGCCTCCAGGCTTACCTGATTGCTGTATCTGTTTTCTATGACCAACAGCACCTCTGACCTGTGTCACCTTTCCTCCCAAGAGTCTGGAGGCAGATATAGTGGCAGAGATTGGCCTGGAAGAACTCAATGGGCTGGAGATAGAGGTCATGAGAAAGCAGGTGAGTACGAATCTGCTGTGCAGTTGGAAAAAGCATCATAGTGTCTGGGAGTGGGTGGTTTTTGCAGCTATGAAAAGAGCTACCCCCTGAATTTTCATAGCCTTTGTCGCATTATCTCCTGTAGCAAATGAAGTGAGGTTGGGCTCCCCTATCTCTTCTCAGGCCTTATGGCTTGGGTACCTCATGTTGATCTCACCCTTAATTTTCTTTTATGCTGGAGATGCTGGACAGGAATTAGGGAAGAGAAAAGGAGATGGAAGGCGGAACAAAGATTCATTTTGTTTGAAGGTCATACTTTCCCCCTACCGTTAAGTCTTGCCTTTCTCATAAGAGAGATTCCTTTTCACAAGGCCTGTGTTTGGTCCCTCCATAGATGCAAGTGATTTCTGGGCGGCTGCATGCCCTTGAGGACTGGGATGTCATCTGGTGCCATAAGGAGGCTGTGCTCTGTAGTCTGCTGGTGTCACTTTGCGTAGCCAACCTGTGGCTTTGGATGCACCAGTGAAATTTCACAAATATCACAGCCTTGCTAGAGCCATCTCTTCCTCTCCTCTTCCCTTTGCTTTCAGAAATGCCCTTATCCACCCCATTCGATCTCCCAGCAGCTCCCAGGTAGCAGTTGGGTCATTTTAGCCTTCTGCTCAGTCCTTCCGCCTGGAGATGAGCTCCCTCTATTATAAGGTTTTAGCTTCTGCAAGGCTGGAGAACCATGGGGTAGCATCAGACAGGTGTGCCTGGGTTGAGCTATCACTCCTCTGGAGAGATTAGAGGATGGCACGAGCCCTAACAGAAACACCGGCATAAACACTATCTAACCTGACTGCACATAGAGCTGGGCTCTGTGACCAGCGTTTCTTTTCTTCCATCCTCTGTGGACAGGGTTTGGCTTTGTATTCCTTCTTTTGTTTGGCCCCACACTACTCAAACCTTTGCTCTGAGAACATGCTCAATAAAAGCTTCATGAGCACAACAAAGCCTGGTGCCAGAAGTTCTTTATCTAAACCTCACTTTTGGCAGGGTTTGGGAGATACACAAGGGGATAGCCTTTTGGTCTAAGGCAGCATGTCTGGGATTGAGTTGCCATTGCCCCAAGGTTCCTGGTGTCCTCTACTGTCTACCGTTCCCCACCCTCACTGTCTTTAGCCCAGGCAAGGCTTCAGACAGTCCTTCTCATTGGTATTATGCCAATGATTGTGTGAAGGACAGGTCAGGTGTTCTAGAGACTCAATCAGAAAAAAAATGTCATGGAAAGGACCAGAAATATTTCTATTTTCCCAAGGAAAAAAATGAGTTCCTGAGAAGAACTACAGGTCTTTGCGGTTTTCTAGCAAGACAGGAAAACATTGTGTGTAAGCTAGGTTCTTCCATGTTCCAGGCTAGGGAATGGTCCGCTTCCTACTAAGTGTCTGAGGATGAGGTCCTGAGAGAGCTCTAGGGGCCACAGTACTACCTTTTGTACCTGAAGACCTAAAAGTCACATCTCAGATAGCCCAGTTAACTAGGGAGGCTTACTTGGCTGCTACTCCTTTCCCTGGGACCAAGTGGATGACAGACATTTGATGGCTTTAAGATTGATTGCTTTCTGGTTTGGAGTTAACGTCCAGATTTGTGTATGTGAGAGACTCATCTACAGAGATGCTTAGCTCATGAGAGCTCTGATGGAATGAATGGGAGAGGGACTCGGTGGCAAGAAAGTAATCAAGGCGAATCTTTGTGGCTTGGGAACCTAGAACTTTTACATCACCTTTGTGGCTAAGGGGAACTTCCCCAAACAGCCAAATCTATCAAGACTTCTCCATTTGTAGGAGACCATGTCATCAAATAAGGAGAGAACTGTGTATAGGGGGTGGGGGATAGAAAGAGGGGAGAGAGTAGGGGAGAGGAAGAGGTGAGACAGAAATGGCAAAGGGAGAAGAATTTTGAGTTCCAAATTCTCTTTGGCCATTACCCTGTTACCTCTCTCTCATCCTTAGGGAACTCTGTGCAGTGCAAGGCTTTCTCTATTCCAAATGTTCTGGGAGCTGATGTGCTTCTGAGATGAGGATACAGGGCCTGCAGTCAGCTCAGTGGGACCCTAGACATGTAGCCTTGGAGCCTCACCCTGCTAGAAGGTGACATAAGGCTACTTAAGAGATGCTTGGCAGGTTTTCTCTCTGGCCCCAGAGCAGAAAGGGTAGTGGGGTGCTGGAGGAAACCCCTTCAGAATAAAAAAGACACTACCTGATCATAAGTGTTTTGCACCAGGAGAGCCAAGAGCACTATCTGCCCCTGTAAATGGGCCCTGGAGACTCAGAGCACACCCAAGAGCTAAGAGTGGGATAGAGAGACTTTGTGGAAGACATTCTCTCTACTCTTCGCAGCCCCAGGGAAGAATGAGAAGTGTAATGAGTCTTTCTCTGGCCCACCAGCCAGCTCCCAAATAATGACATGGAGATTTATTAATTATGAAATCTCAGTATATAGCTTAGGCTTGTCCCACTAGCTCCTATATTTAAATTAACCCATTTATATTAATCTATATTTTGCCTCATGGCTTATTACCTTTCTTTCACTCTGTATCTCTGACTCCCTCCATATTTCTTGGCATCTCCTGCATGCCTAGATTCATCTCCCACTTCCTCTCTCTCTGCCTAGAAATCCCCACCTATACCTCCTCTTTAGCTATTGGCCATTTGACTTTTTATTACAACAGTAACAGCAATGCATTTTCACACAGTGTACAAATAACCCACAACAGGGATCCACAATGCAGAGAAACAGCTAGTTGGAACAACCCATCAATTCACACAAAGGCAGCATGTGGCACTTCCTGCCACCATCACGATGCTTCCACTGCCTTTGGTACTGTGAAAGGTGAACCTAGAGGAGAGATTGGCTTATTAAATAGACACCAAGATGTCATCCCTCATATCATTAGCCTAAGGGCACCTCTTTTATTCCATCCCAATTTGGCTCCACGGGGAAACTACAAGGAAGAGAGGGCTGCAACTAAGTTGGGTGAAACCTGCCTTTTGGTGCCCAGGTGCTCCTGTGCCTGTGCAGACAGGACATGTTTTCAAAAAAAGTCTGGTTGCAAATATGTTGTGAAACAAAGGCTCCCTCCTGGGAGCAATTTAGCTGAGTTGCAAACAAACAGCCTGGTGGCCCCCCTGGAGGAACACCTCCTGAGGTAGGTGAGCTCAGGTGGAGTCCTTGCATGTGCCCTTTCTGCCTCTCTCTACCCTGCAGTGTGGCTGCTCAGCCGCCTCTGAGAAGACTAGAGGTGGGTTCCTTCCAATTGCCTGCCCCACCTAGGAGGTCTCCCAGAGCAAACCTGAACGGCAGTCAAAGCTTTCCTGGTTTATCTCTGTGGCAGCCCGAGAAGTCAGCACTGAGGCACAGGGACAAAATGGTTAATAGCAGAATCCTCTGCTTGTCCCTTAGGCTACGATCCATCTGGAGCGTTTGTCTTCTTATTATATTCCCCCCTATCCAAAATTGTGACTCTCCCCATGGGGAAGTCGCGTGTCCAGTAGGCATGGATATGAGAAGAAACTCATTTACATCTGGTGACAGGGGAGAAAACTTTCCTAGGACATTGCTGCTTATCACCATGGACCATCTCCCATACCATCTAGGCCCAGGATTAGAGGAACACAGAAGCATTTTACTGCCTATTAGCTTGGAAGTATGTAGGGTCTAGTTTTCTCTGTGTTCTGCATCACTGAGACCCAGCAGAAGGAAAGGGCTAGTTGAAGTTTTCCATCAGCGTCCTCAGAGCATAATTTTGTTCAGTTATGCAGTTGGGCTTTAAGGACCACTTTCTATGAAGAAACCTTCTCCACTGAAGTAAGTTCATTTTAACGACCGCTTTTCTGTGGTAAATATCACTATGTGCCACCCATGTTACAGTCTCAAAATTTCCAATTATACATGCCACACATGAATAGATTCTCCTTTGTTAGCAGATGTCAGCTAACATAGCCCTTAACTCTTCCTGCCATGCCCCTCGGTGTCCCTACAAGCTCTCCGTGCTGTCCTATGCAGGATTTATATATGTCTGGCTTTGTCCTAGCCTTTGAGCCCAGGATGTCAGTTAGAACTCTCCTGGCTATCTGAGTGAGGAGCTTGCCATCCAAGCCACCTGTGCAGATGTGGAAACTGGAGGCTTCCAGGAGGGCCCTCCCTATCAATCTGGCTCCTAGTCAGCGCCAGCCCTGGGCAAAGGCTAAAACCCGATATTTCAACACTTCTTTCTCAGGTTGGCCTCTTAGTAGCTGGATAAAAAAAGGGGAGAAGACAGCTGGTTGTGGGGAAAAAGGTGAGAGTAGGGGCCTAGGAGCAGCTTGGAATCCTGATCTCTTAAAAAGAGCCAAAGGATTACTTGCACCTTCTGATTCTCAAATCCTGGCCCTTGTGAGAGCTTAAATCCATCGAATTTTCCCACTCTGACTGGCTCCATTCTGGGTTTCTTTTTTCTCTCCCAATCTCCTTGATTTAGCCTCCAATCAGGTAGGCTGTCTGGAACTTTGTCAACATTTTAAAGCAGTGGTTTGGCGGCCTTGAGCTTTTAGTCTTCAGTCTTCAGACAGAGAGCTGCTTTGCACCTGCTCTGTACAAGGGAGAGTCCCTCAGGGAGCTTGGGAGGGGCCAGAGAAGCCGCTTCAACAGACAGACGGTGTCTAGTTCTCAGCTGTTGGCAGCCTGGGGTGTGCAGGGTTCTCATTGAAGACAGACTCTTCAGGGGGCCAGGAACACCCTGACTTGGCTCTCAAGCTCACCTAGTGTGAGTATGTGCTCCATTGGACCTCTGTTGGCTTCCTGGGCTGGCAGCAGGCAACGTGGAACAGCTCTCTGATTGGAAAGCTGTTGCTATTTGTTGGGGTCTCAAAAAACCTTCCCTGGCTGGACAACAGAAGAAGCAAGAAATCTCTGCAGGTTTCAGTGCTCATGAGCTCTCAAGAGCTTGTCTTTGATTGGAGGTGGTGTGGACGGAACAACAGATGTTGACTGTGGCCCCA